AAAGTAGCAATTCAACTGACTGCATTTATCTGGCAGCAAACGAATGAAAAAGACAAAATGATAACAAAATATCAACATGGACAACAGCAGAGAGGGGCGGAAAAATGACGACAATAACGTTGGTGCTTTAGTATTGGACTTCACTTAATCCCCATCATGTGTTAATGTCACTGTGATGGGAGTGTGCACTGCAATTACCTCCCACTCATACATTGTGCAGACAGACAGGGACAAGAGCAGATGCTGCTGCTATGAAGACAGATCACTGTAGGCTCAACATGTCCTCCCTGAGCTGGGATGCAGGGGGTACAGACTATGTGTGTCTATGTGCCTTTTGATTCATGTCTTCTTTTTGCTTTTGTTTTATTGTTGTGATGTGTTAGTATATGTGTATCTGTGTGTGAGTGTGTCTTTGCAACTTATCTCCAGAGTGTTGCTGGTTCTGCTCACCTGCACAGCTCTGTGTCCTTGTATTAGCAGTTAGCACTCAAATGTATATGCAGTGGAAATGCGTGTGTGTGTGTGCAAGTGTGTGTGTGTGTGTGTGTGTGTATGCATGCAGCCTATTGATCAGCCAGACTGCACCCGGGGCTCCGGATGGATGACCCTCTATTAGGCTGTCTGTCTCCCAGGAAAGAACACCTCAGCCTGGGGAGAATGCGATGCTATCCCTGAGGTGCAGCAAGCCCCAAGGTCTCGATTTCACTCCAGTGGTTTCTGCACTATCTATAGAGAAGAATTTGGAAAATACAATCACTGACAGTTCTTTCTGTTGAATTTCACCATAAACCTGAAAATAGATTTGAAATAAATCTGTCAATGTTTTTAAGGAATCAGAAGTTAAATTAAGAAAAAACAACCTCTAAACCTGTGATAGGGATATACTGTATGTTCTTATTATGGATCGTCTAATACTCGCTAAGGCTAGGCAATGAACTGCTTACAGATACCAAAATATATGACAATAACCAATGTCATTTTGCCCATGTCAATATATTTGGTGTCAAAAAAATAAATCAAAGTTGGTTTTGGATGTGTGTAGGTAGGCTATGGTCTTGTGCCACTTAAGACGCTGTCCTGCATCAGAGATATGACACCACCTAATCCAGTCTGTAACAAAGAGGGAAAGACAGGTGAGGAGATGGAGGATGGTTCAAGAGTTGTAGCAGCTGGAGTGGTGGCTGATGTAGACAAAGTTTATGTGGGAGGGGGTGAGCAGCTTGTGGAGTGATTATCGTCCATCTATTGTTATTGAGGTGAACTACTCAATATATCGTGATACTATTTTGAGGCCATATCGCCCAGCCCTAATACTCGCTTTAGACGTTTGTTTGCAAGAGTTGAAAAATCTGAGTTTAGGTGAATCCTCTGTACCATGGGGGCCAATCAACATCGACATTAACTGGCAAAGCATATCTACATGACAACAGACCGGCAGAGTTTTTTTGTATTTATTTATTTTTAAAAATGGGAACAGTACATATTGATAAACATGTACATGTAAATATATGGGATTACAGCCAAATGGCTAATTTCCATCCCTAGTCCCATTGGCAGGTTGATGTTAAACATAAAAGCAATAATGTTAAAATTACAAACAACATGACTAAGACGGTAAAACAATGCACTGACAACATAAATATACATAAACAACGTACACAGACCAAAAATTAAGTGACCAATGGTAAGGGGACCAAAAAGATTAAAAATGAATTGTAAAGTGCTAAAGTGCTAATTTAAGTGTCATGTGCCAAAGGTACAGCTTGCTGTACTGTAGCATCAGTTCCATTCATCTGATAAATGGAGGATAGAATCATTGTTTTGTTTTTAATATTGAGACAAGAAAAAAAAATCTAGGATGAAGATGAGTGAGGAGGTCAAATTATCACAAGTTGCTTAAACGGGGCAACAGATCCTTATAATTTGGTCAACATCAGTTATGTATAATTAAAAAAAGACTGACATCTCTTATGTGTTTGGCAGCCCCACACATGCAATATTAAAATGCATGCAAGTGGATGCTATTCACACAAGTAACAAATGGCTAAAACAGACCAAGTTTTTATCAAAATGAGTCACAGATGACAGGATGTCTGATTTTAGCCAACCTTTATGTCTTTCACTCCACCTGAGCATCATGTCTCCATAACAACACTGATGGGCTTCACCTTGGGGAAGAAAAAGGAGTCGGTAGCTCAATAAAGTTTTCTTATCTTAAGGGGTTTCCTCTAACTATATCAGCTGGTAGAGCACAGTGATTTCTCTGAAATGAAAGCCCTGACCTCAGCTGTGTCCATGTTTTGGTGTGAATTCACTGGAGATCACCAATATCTCACCAGTAAAAACAAGCCTAATGTCCCCCTTATCTCCCCTAACATCTTTTCCTCATCTCTTCTTTTTGCCCTTCTTTTCTTATCATTACCTTCCCAGCTCAGACTGTCACCCACTTATCACCTCTTGTACTGTTATGTCGGTTTTCACCTCAGCATAATTACCACACATCTCGGATTTTGCAGGAATCAGATTCAGGGAATTTCTGCTGCTGTTTTCCAACAAGCGAGAAATGTTTTTCGTTTTGTTTTTTTTGTTTTGTTCCTTTTCTCAGGTATCCCACTCCTCTGGTTTTAGCACCCCTGTCATGTATTTTCACAGGAAGCAAAACTGAAGTGTTAGCTGAGAAAAATGTCAAACATGGGCTGTGATACATCAGGAACATTGTCAAAAACACGGCTTGTACTTTCCTTTTCTTTTTTTCTCATAGTCTGTTGGGATTGTATGAGATTTTTTTTTCTTATTTGGAATTACAAATGAGATTAAAAGACATGTGACATATGCTGCCTGTCATTGGAAAAGCTTCATGTTGCTGACCTTTCTTCCTACCAAAGGGTTTCTCATTTGGCCATCTTATTGCACATAAAGGCACTGTGAGTGAACTGTTTTACATATTTTATGTTATTAAAAGATTAATGCAACTGAGGGTTTGAGATTTGATATGCAACAATGTGATTGTAGTGCTTAGAGGCTTATTTTCTTGACACTGCATTTTACAGTTGACAAAAAAAAAAAAAAAAAAATTACATGGAAACCAGTAAATCTGGTAGAGTTCAAAGAAGTCGCATGAATTAGTAGGTGTCCAATTAGTGGTATATCCAATTAGTGGTATATCACTTACCGAAACCAGGAGACTCAAGTGCTTGGCACAGCCACAGTATGGCTAAGTTTAAACAATTATCTAGGCTGAGACATATCACACCTCATAGACAAACGAGAGAACTCCACAGAGATTCAGTTCGGAAGGAGTGTTAGTTCTCGTTGTGTACTCTTTTTAAGATATTCAGTTAATAAAAAAAAAAAAAAAAAAACTGTCAAAGTCAATGTTACCTCTCTCTCTCTTTCACTGTAATTATTTTTAATTAATACTGAGTGCCTTCACAAATTTGTTACATGTTAATACGCCAATATGCTACACTGTGCAATATCCTATGCTGCAAACTTGTTTTGTATACACCTCTACTCTACTCTCTTTGCTTGTGCATGGCCTTTTTCTTTCACACTTTGCGCCTTGTAAATAGCTTTATTTCTAATATTGTGGACTTTTTATTCACTGTTGCATTGTTTTATTCATTCTTATTCATCCCTTTGCTATTCTCCCTCCATTAATATTTTATTTTCAAGAGCAAGTGTAATGCTGTCATGACCAAATCTTCCCCAAGAATGAATAAATTATCGTGATTGTGATTCAAATGCACAAGTATTGTAAGATAATAAAAAAAATAATGAAAAGATAAAAAGACAAAGATAAATGTGTCATTGTTGAAAATGTTCACCAAGACAGCAGCGTTTATAATACTGACAGGCTACTGTTGGGTCATGTTAACTGCTTGACAAATAAATAACTGTAATCCAAACATGGGGGGTAATTCTGAAAATAACATATTTTTTTAGAGGAATTCTCAACCAAAAATGTTTCAAACTATTACAAAAATATAGAAATCAGGTCCCTGGTTGTGTGAAAATTGGATCGTTCATAATTAAGTGAGAGAATAGAGCTTAGAAGAAGTTAACCTCGCTAACTGTGCTGAGCTTCATTCAAAAATCATGATAGAACTGATGAAACAGTGAAAATCACAGAAAAAGATATTTGTTTTACATTAGCTTTCCTTTCTGAAGTATAAATGCAACAAAAAGTTAGACTCTCACATATTTTCTGACACATATCTCAGATACCCAAAAATGGTCCATGAAGAACTACAGCTGAGCTCTTAAGAGCTCTTCTCCTCTAAAGGCTAAAACATACAGGTTTCGTGTTGAGCATGTTCTGTCAGCATCGCCCGTCATGCAGCAATTAGGTTCCCATTCTAATCAATGGAGCATCGCACACAGGGTGCATTGCAGCTCCGTCTCAGAAATGTGTCGAGCACAGCTCTGCTAAAGATGCGCACAAGTCTATTTTCTCTGCTCTACACTATTAACACGGGTCAATCTACACATGGAAGATCTTTCTAGACAGGATGTCAAGCACGAAAACCACACATGCCATCCGCTAAATTTCAAAATAAAACACCATATGCAGACTCCAGACTGTGTATCGATTGGTTTAGATAAGAAATACTTCCTGGTTATGGATTTATGAGTAACACAGAACAATCTGATGGTCAATCCCTGATCCATGTGGACACCAACAGGACTTTTAACTGCTAACTCTGTCTGAAGGTAACAGCACAGCATAAAATAACATAGTTTACCTTATTAAAACTTGCAGAAACCCAGGATTCTGCTACAATACCTAGATGAGGCGTTGCTTGGGGAGAAGACAAAACTGAATGTCTTTTGGAAATTTGGTCTTTTGGTCCACTTTTTGGTCAACTCAAAGTATTCAAGATTCATTTCCCTCCTGCTAAGTAAAGTACTGGATGTAGTATATGAACCTACAAATTCTTCTTACTTAATTCTTACTGACTCTGATTCACATTTTCAAATGCTCTTTGTGCTGAAATGATTATATATATATATATATATATATATATATATATATATATATATATATATATATACACACACATATACGAGTGAATTGATTTTGATTGTTACCACAGGTTCAAAGAAACAAGCTCTATTTCCAGCACTAATTCATTCAACAGCGCTCATTAGCTGCATGCAGCCACTTCTTCCACTCCTATGCCGTTAATATAGTCTCTTTACCAATGCAGGGGTGGGTGCTTTTTCCCATTTGTGGTTCTCAGAACACTAAAGATTTATGAGTCATACATACTACATAATATAGGTCAAATGTATGTCAACGTACTGTATACTTTAGATGTGTGTTTAAAGTGTGGTGGTCATGTATGGGGAAGGGGAAATGGAATACAAAGAGGAAATGACTGAGGAGTTGACCTTTAGGCAAGTGACTATCAAAATAGAGAGTGAGATGAGGAAGGAAAGAAAAAAAGTAATTACAACGGAGTGTATGAAGCAAAGGAACATATTTGAGCTCTGGCAGGGAAGATCTCACTGTCACTAAAAGAATAACAAACTTAATCAAAAAGCTTTGACAACCATAAATAACCATCAATGTCAGCATCAAGGTCAGGGTGATCATATGGTTCTCAATCTTTTATTCATTAAACAAAGGAAAAGTGAACACTGCATCCATCCAGTTTAGATCAAAAGACAGAGCAATGAGAGTTTCACCTGCTTAGGAGCTGCAGAGGTATTTTCCTTCCAGGTATATTTTAGGATGTCAACATTCCAGATTGATATGCATCCAAAAATGCTGAAGCCACTTGTTATAAATGTGTTATCAATATGTGCTATCAAAAATGAGAGCAAAGACACCTGGCACTGTGGAGCTTCGAGAAGGGTTGGTGTTGTCCAGTATTTTTTCAGCCAGAAAATGAAAGTGTTCAGTTCAGACACACAAATGTTGCGCTTGCATAAATTAATCAAAGACGACTGGACTGGTAGCCTCATCAAGGATCTCTGCACAGTCTCTATAACCTTCTACTAAATGACAGTGTACTTGTGCATTAAGAAGTTTTGAATGAGGAGATTTGTGATGATATAGTTACGGTTTTATCACTGAATTTCACCCTTTCTTTTCTTTTGGTTTAAACCTTTAACTCTTACCTTACAAAAGCTATTACCATTAAAGGGATATTTCGGTGTAAAATCAAGTTAGGGTCAAGCACACTGTAACACCAAGTTAGATGAATGTTGCCAACTGCTTGCTCCTCTAGTTATACCAACTTCAGCAACGACTGCACGATTGCAATACACAGCGGTTTACGTCTTAACGTCTTGTGGGGGAGCCTTGACAAAGTCGATCTCTGAGTGTGGCAGCTTATTTCATGACGTAATAATCATCATAATAATCATTTTGCACTGCAGACGCGGTAGTTCTTCTGCTTTAGGATCTCCGCCTGATTGCATTTCCATTAAGTAATAATCATAAATGTTTTTCCTTGAGCTGCAAAACTCTGCTGCACTCGGTGCTCGACTCATCAGGGCTCTCCCACAAACAAGCAGCTGCTGGAGGAGAGTGGGTGAGCTGTGTTTGGTCCCTTTGCTAAAGAAACCAGGCAAAGCTAGAAAGATGTTTCATGGCTAGTACTGTGGCTGGTATCCTATATGTACTGTTGATGAAGTTAGGTGCTGGTATTGTTATCGTGCGGTCTTGCTAAAGTTGGTATAAAGAGAGAATCAAGCGGTCGGCAACATTCATCTCTCAGGGGGGTGTCTAACTCGGTGTTACAGTGTGTTTGACCCTAACTTAATTTTACGCTGGAATATCCCTTTAAGCTCTGTACTGAAAAGATAAACTCTTGGAAAAGCTACAGCTGTGGTCATTGCGTACTTGCTTTATTTTCCTATCTTTTCTTACCGTTGATCACTTTTGCCATAACTGTGGAGATAGTTTGCCACTTACTGTGAGCAAAGGCATCAGAAGGAGAGATTCATTTCTGGAATAAAAATTCCAGCTCCCATAAAACCAGGCTGCTGCTGGCTGCACTAAACCTGCCCAACACTGGATGAGAAATGCAATTCCTCTTTGCAATACCCTGTCTGACATGACCTGCATCTGAGTCAATTTTACCTCCCACCAACCAATTCAGTGCCACGGCTGCCTGCATGTCGATCCGTCTGTCTGCTTGTCGTATCGCATCTAATCTTCATCTCTCCAAGTGTCACCACCCTCCAAGCCTAGATATCTGTCCTCGTTTTGACTGTTTTTGATATTTGATAAACCATTTCAACCGAGCTTGTTGGAAACAGTCGCCTTAAATCTTTTTCTAAAGGTGGACATAAAGCCCAAACTAACTTTATTTCCGTCTACCTGTTTCTTCCTTGGCTCTGTCAAAACGTCAACACTATTCATACTTTTTTTCCCTCAGCCCAGAGCCACACTGGGCAGGTATTCCAGAAAAAGAGCTCCTCACTGTTGTTTTATTTACCCCTTTTTTCTCTCTTGTACATCATACTCCTTTTTGCATGTTGGTTAATCCATTATTGACGGTAAAGATTTCTGTGCATGTTCTCAACCTGTCAGAGGGATTCAGGTGTAATGGGAGAGGATATGGACCTAATGGCCAAGCTGCATAAAAAAACAGACAGCTACCTTTAGAAAAGAAGGAGAGGATGCTGCAGGAGAATGCCAAAAGAAGAAAAAGAAGAAGAGAAAAGAACGAAAGAAATGAACAAAGAAAGGAGATGGGAGGGAATAAGGAGGCAGGGTCAATAACAGTAAAAGATGGGCGACACAGACAGACAGAGGAAGAAGAAAGTCGTGGTGAAGCACAAAAGAGGACAGGAGAGTAGAAAGCATTCCCGGCGGTGCGAACATGTCAAGGCTTAGCTGGGCGCAGACACTCCCATACACCAACACACACATACACAGACACACACAAAGCTGTTCTTCCTAACGAGTGAAAACCCTCGGAGCAGAAAAACTGTGACGTCTCTGGTGGCAGGTTGCAAAAAGCTTTCTCTCTTGTCTCAGCCTCCAGCTTGTACCTGACTGCTTAGCCCTTTTCTTCTGATGGCTGTACGTACAGCATGGTCCGACCATCCATCCATCCATCTGTCCATCCATCCATCAATTCATACATAATCCTAAACACATTTCCATATTTCCACCCCCGTTGTAATCAGCCAATGCATCCATAAAAGCCTCCCTCCAAATTTCCATCTAAATATCCATTAAAAAAAATCCTGAATGCTGATGCGATTTTATTCCTGATTCAGTGCAAGATTGAAATCAGTATTGGATTTTGTAAACAGTCAACACTTCCTCTGGCTCTACTCTGCAAGTCAAAGTTTCACTTGAGCATCACTTTTGGGGGGATAAAATAGAAGAGTAGAGGACTGAATATTCAAGTAGGGATGAGAAGGGGAAATAGAAAGAGAATAAGGATGAGGGGAAAAAAAGACAGAGAAACTTAAAGAGGAAAGAAGGTTTAAAAACAGACAGAACTGGCAGAGTTTAAAGCTGAATCCCCGTTCCATACATAGTAATCCAAAGCAGGATTTACACAAAGCATGTGGTGTGTTCAATCTCAAAAAAGGAAAAAAGAAATGACTGGAGTAAGCATACTAAAAGAAACAGACAGACAACTGCTGTAAAGAATAACCAGCAATTAAGATAGTGATGTGAAACCTGTTTGTTAGTTTGATTTGGATGAAACCTTCAAAGCACAGTGGTGTAAATTACCACAGTGACACTTGTGCTTCACATTTGAGAGGTGTGATAGCCAGTTTGCATGTAAAATGAATTTGGGTTATACCTGTCTGTGAGAGCAAGACAAAACATTTTATTGTGTGTCTTGACATCCCAAAAGTTTCTGAGTACAGTTCACTCTTTGATTTTATTTTATTAATAGAAAGTCTCTTGCTGGCACTGAATTTCCTCTTCTTGGCTTCTTCCATTAACGCTGTCCTTGCTCTGTTTGGCCCCTTTTACACAGCCTGTTTGAGGAAGGACAGTAATGCCTCAGCTGCTGTCTGTGTAAAGCTCCTGAGGCAAAATGCCTGAAAACACTGTTCTACCATTAACAAGTGTCAAAGGTAATAAAATGAGGATATATTAATAGTGAGCAAATGACTGGGCAGGACTGCATAGTGGTCTGCTAGCATGTTGTGTCACTTTGTTTTTTCCAACATCACTGAGTAACTGCAAACTGGAACAGCAGGGGCACAAAGGCAGTATTTTGTGGTATAACACAGAGTTTGAAACATGTTGGTCACTTGCGTTTGGATTAAGACCCCAGCCAACATAAGTGGTACTTAGAGTCAGGAGATACAGACACAGCTAACATCAATACTCTTCTTGACAAAGGTTCAGGGGTGCGCTATGTTTCCTCAAATTTTAGGGCTGTTTATTGGGCACTGTTGCCTGTTGTAGCCTGACCCATCAGTTAGCTAGCAGGGAGGGCTGCAACTGCTGTCAGTCTGTGTCAAATATACCTCAGACAGTCCTGTGACAGAGTTTTGATCTGACCGCTGGTGTTTTGCACAGTCAGTGTACCCTTTTTTGACAGTGCAGAAAACATGGTGTGGTGTGGCTGGTTAGTTGTGTGGACCCAGAAGCAGACACGGAAACAGAGATAAACTTAAAGTGTAATTTAATGTCCAAACAAGGTTGAAAATGCAAACAGAGGAGGTCCGGTAGGCTGGTTGGCTGGCTGTCATGTGGGCTGAAGACACTGCAGGAAAAACCAGAGGAAAAGGAAGTTAGTGAACATGTAAAGGATCACGAGGAGCAAAGTTCTGATACTGATACCAACGAGGTAGGCCAGGAGATGCATCTTTACCACTTGTAAGGGTAGACAATACTCAGACCCTGAGGCTGAGGGCTGCAGGCTTCTTAAAGTGCCTTGATTGGAGATGTGGAGCAGGTGTGTGGTCTCACTCAGCCTCAGCGCCGGGGGAGGGGAGGAAGCTCTGGAAAAGAGTGAAGCCAGACCAGGCAAACAAGGAAACACAGGAAGACCAGCCAAAATAAAACAAGATGAGGAGGCGTCTCACCACACATGGGAGAGAGAGCAGGGAATGATGTGCAGAGAACAGGCCACAGGGTGGAATCGAACCTTGGCCACTTGCATATCGTTGCTGTCCAATGAAAAAAACATATCTCCACTTTTAGTGAGCTGGACTTTTTTTAATACATGTACTTCCCTGACAACCCATAGCTTTAGGTATCCAAATGACCTATGGAAAGACATATTATAACATCCTCTTTTCAACAAGTATCTCCATTGGGTGTCTAAGTGTCAACAAAGCATGTATCTCCTGCCCTGATCCTGCGTTGTCATGTCAGCAAACAGCTTTTATACTGTGACAGACTCATTAAAGTCCAAGGTTTTGCCATACTCATGTCCTCACATCGACTGATGCTGACCAGTTATTTCAGTTATTTTTTCAGTATACCTGCATCAGTCACGGACACTAGTGCATGTTAAACTGGGAGTCACGATCATAGACTGTATATACTATGGACAACCTGGTTCCGCCTTCCGCCTGTATATGGATTTGAAGTCAAATAGCGCTCGGTATTTCCAGGATTTTTCTTTATTTCCTGAGACCAGCGCTGCACAGTAGCGATGCGTGCATTCGACCACGCAGTCGCAGAGAGTCGCTGTGATGACGCTCGGCTCAAACAGCGTATCCACCGGGAGAGTTACTCAATCCCTGAACACCCATAGGCTGTATCAGGTGTAAAAACGGAGCTTCACAGAAAAAAGAGGACTTGAGCACAAACCAATCTTACAATAACTACATGTCAACAATGCAAGCAGGGGCGAGAAAAATTTATGTTCTGTGTAATAAATTTCTAAAGTTTGTCCACAGCTCTATCAGCTTTGCTGGCGGAGGCGGGATTTATGACCTATACTGCAGCCCACCATCAGAGGGTGCTGTTCTCGGAGTGGCTTCACCCAGCAGGGAGGTAGACTTTGTCCATTCTATATACAGTCTATGGTCAAGACTAAAGAAGGTTGACATCCAATGAGCTATGTGGAAATGTCGGACAGCCCACTATCAATAGTCTATCAACATAGTGGGACATAAACAGGATACCCAAAGCTTGTAAATAACAGAACGTCAATGGAGCACATTATTTAAAAAAAAACATGTGTGCCCACTGTCACTCACAATGCAAAGCATGTCAGTCTGTTTAAAAAATCAAACTGTGTAATTATAGATTTTGATTTCAGATCCTAATTGTGTCTTATTACAGTGTTTTGGGTTTATTCTGTAAGGTAGTTTATGAATATATTTATACATATATTTTTTATGTTCCTGAAAAAAACAAAGTTTGGAGATACGTGTTTTTTATTGGACAGCAATGATATGTGGGATTTACCTAGGCCTCAATGCAACCAGTATCCCCCCCCACGCAAAGTCCATGTACTTTAATGATACCCTACACTGTCTCATTGGTTTCATAATTGCTTAAAAAAATATATGTCTGCCAGTATCAGCTTTCATTTCATATTTTGTGTTTTGAACCATAAAAGAGATGCAGAAGTAACTACTCTGCTCATCCATCAACCCATTCTCTCCTGTCTTACCCCATCCTCTACCTCCTCCTCGCTCATTTTCACCTCACCATGTCCTCTGTAACACCTGAAAAAACTGAGACGACTGACAAATCCCCTGACAGAGAGAGGCAGAAAAAATTAGGCGCTCTGAATAAGTCTCAGCAGGCTAACTCTCAGAACACCATTAAACCCCCTACTTAAGCTGTATTTATGGGTAATGCCTCTACAGTGAGCCCCCCTCTGTTTCTATGGCAGTGTGTCCTCAGGGTGGGATGGTGACACACACTGACCTAAGTTAAGAGAGAAGAGCAAAGAAAGGAAATGCAGAGTATTACCAAATGTTCCTCACACACCATGTTTCAAATTTGGAGGTTGTGTGACTCTTATTTTTAGAGAGCATTTGCTTCTAAAATATAGAATCCTGTCTCATCCGAGGTTGTCTCACTGAAGTGCATTTCAGAGTTCCTGTGCTTGCACGGAGCTCAACCTGCCCACCGGGAGGTTAAAAGCGTTGGAGTTACTCACAGTTCAGCTGGTTTTTGGCTTTGTCCAACCTGCTGCAGTGTCTTACACAGAGACTACACTTAAGGGAGGATTACTAATGCTGCGTTCCATTTGTACTTGGAAGTTGAATTTTCCGAGTTCTCAATCGAAAATTCATCTGGAACGCCTCCCTGAAGTCGGATTTCAAACTCGGAAAGTCGGACAATCCTAGCCAACATGGACTTATTATTATTATTATTATTATTATTATTATTATTATAATTATTATTGTTATTATATTGTTATTATTAATACTATTAATAGCACTTCTGTTTCGTTTTTGTGAAATAGATTTAGTGTGGACATGGTACTATGATAATGTATGAGTTATATACCGTATTATGTGCTGTTTTTAACTGGTAAAGCTAACAACAGCTAAAGCAGCTAAAAGCAGCTAACAATGAATAAACATTCTAACAGCAAGCACTTATCTTGTTTTTCAGACTTGTTTACCAGAACACCATTAACTCGGGTGTAACGTCATTCCCAGCTCCAACATCCGACTTCCGAGGTAACTGGAATGCAGCATATGGACCACAACGGACATATTAAAAAAAAAAAAAAAAAAGAAAAAAAACATGTGCTTTGGTTTTTAACAACTGTTATCTGTAATTTATCATTACAGTGAGGTGTAAATCTATGAATGCTGTGATTTAAATATCTGGTCCAGGCAAACATCTGTGGGACAGCTGTGACAGTGTGCCCTAAACCAAAACAATGCCCATGGCTTATTATACATTTCACAAAATAAAAGGTTATAAACAGTCAAAGGTGACACTGTCAATGTCTGTGAATTTCAATAAGATTATTTTCTATACTCTGAAGAACAAACAGATGCTTTAGCCTTAAGCTCTCATCAATGAAATGTCAGCCTGTGTGCTGAAAGCTTGACACTGAAACATTATTTGTAATGTGCTCGCAAAACAGGGAGCGCAGGGAGAGAGGTGACACATCAATTGTAAACCATAGCTGCAAGGTGTAGTATCCCTCGCTGATTACATTTGCGGCAATCCGGCTAAAGCCTTTCAGATAGATGATTTCAATTACTTTGTGTATACCATGTTTAAGTTCACAGCAGTAATCTTTTCTTTTTTTTTTAATAACACGTCAGATGTCAAATAGAATTTGCAAAACTGCTGCTGGCAAACAACACACAACCTTTGCTCAAGAAAGCTTTGTGCACTTTTCTCGATCGTTGTTGTTTGACTGAAGTGATATAATGATGTGAAATAAAAGCAGGGATGTGGGTGTTTAAAATAACAACTTAGACATTAGCCAATTCTGTCTTTTTGTACTATAATTCTACATGTTTAAATGAGCAATAAGAGTTGGTGGAAAGTTAGTTTAACTTAAGGTTTAAATTGTGTGTGCAAATTGTGGGTAGTTTAGCACTACCCCAGACTCGCTGATTAATGTCCGTAACTTCAAAACCAAATGGCTGTTTCGTATCTCAGTTTGGAAACAGACTCACGTCACAAAATCGCTATAAGACCAGTAGCCCGAGTGATATGAGGGCTGCCAAGCCAGCTATCTGAACTGGTGAGAGCACTGCTGTTGTTTTCACTCATTGTTTTCTTTGTTAGGGAAATAAAATTTTCCATGCACACAGGGTCATTGCTGTTTTTTTTTTTTATTTTGAATATCCAATAAAGGTCCCACATTACCCCCCTTTCAGCAGGTTCCTATAGGTCTCTGAGGTCCCAGAACAGTCAATTTGAAGTTTGTTGTCTAAAACCCCAATTTTTCTCCTGGACTTCAGCCAGCCCGAAAACTTTCTCTAGTGAGCTCTACCGAGAACACGCTGTTTCTGTGTGCAGCGCCTGTCCACGCCTCCTTCAGCGCAAGCCACGCCCTTCCCTGTCTCTCTGGCTTGCGTTACAGTACCATTCACTAATGTACACACAGAGTGCTAGGTATGGCTCATAGAAGTGCTGAGGTCCAGCCATACCAGTTTGAGCCAGAGTCTGACCCAGAAGGAGAGGTTCCTGAAGAAATTCCAAATTCCATGGAAGGCAAAAGTACTAATCTGCCTGTTTGAGCAGACATTTTCTGAAAAATGAAATAAGCAAGAGAGGGAGAGGATAGAATTTTCTCATGTTGGGGGGTTGTAGACAGGGTGGAGATGCATATTATTGTTAGAAAATCATTATGAATTGAATTTTGCATAGTATGAGACCTTTAACTGCCCCAGAGCAGTTTTTTTTTTTTTTAAGTCAGCGACTTAGACCCAGTGCATTCAAATACTGTGCCAACTGAATGATAAGGGGCTCAGGCAGCTACGTAAATTTGAGGGTTCGCAGCCGTGCATTTGCAGTCACAGCAGGAATAGAAAGAGTTTTGCCATTTTGTAGAGACAGTCAGATATTCGTGAATTGGAATGTAACTAGCAAACAGACACACAAAAGTGACTGTAAAGAGCAGCAGATGTTGACATATGAAATATATATAATTATGAGTAATGATGTGTTAATTTGACCCTGTGCAGGATGTATACTGTAATCATTCTGGTTTGTCAGACGTTAGCATTTAGAGTTGAGCTGGAATTAATGTCCCTCATGTAATAATTTAAAACAGATATATGCACACATACAACCAGTGTTGCCTGCTGCAGGAGTGATGCATACTGTAATATTTAAATATCATAACAGACACACGCTGATGCACAGAAGCCTACTCAATTAATCATGGTGTCCTTTGGCCCTATGTACTCAATGCTAACATAATGGACCTGAGTGATAAACCACTTCCATTTCCTCTCTAAGCCTGTTTAGTGAAGTCTGAGAAAGAGAAGATGGAGCGGCAGGAGGAAGGAAAAAAAGAGAGATCGTGATTGAGTGAGAAAAGAAGGAAGAGAACAGGCAGAGAATAGGAGATCAGGAGAGGTGAGACACCAAGGAGAAGCATGTTTATATTGCTGAGAGCAGAAGGGATATTAGATACAAATTATTCATGTGCTTACGCCACTCCACATCTCATGAGAAACGTCCATTTGTACCTTGAAGACAACATCAAGACAGAAACCTAAAAGAAGGGCAAAGGATACAGAAAAGCAGATCAGAAACAAAAGTAAAATACAAAAATACCACAAAATATTATGCAGCTTTGCATGACAATGTATACATGTCAGTGCTGCTTAACTGTGGTGCCATAAAATTACTCTTAAAATCAAACACAGTGCAATATATCCTAAAATTTGATGGCTTTGTTAGCATATGGGATGAATGGGGTAAAAAATTTAACAACAGCCTCAACAAGATTCAAAATAAAATTGTATTAATCTGCCTTCTTGGAAAAAAAAAAAAAAAAAACTCCTGTCTGGGTGGTTTAGTTTCAGACAATGAGTTTTAATAGTAGTTGTCAGTAGATTCCCACCCGTCACACTGTAATGTTGAGTACTTTAATTCCTCTGACTGACTTTTGTTACTATTACATAGTCATTAAGAGCTCCACTGTGAGCACATTGTCAATCACATTGTAATGTACGTTATTCATACTTTCCATAGCAACTACAAGTTAACATGGAACTTTATATAGCTGAATAAGCCGTAAAAAAAAAAAAAAAAAGAAAAAAACATGACACAGACTCAGAGCAGTGTTAATGTTAAAGGGATGTTCAGGCGTAAATTAAAGTAGGGGTCAAACACACTGAAAGTTCCCCACAAGCTAACGCAACAAACATTTCCTTCTGATTGAACCACAAAAATGCCAATCAAGCTGACAGACATTTCAGTCTGGCCAACCATAGCCCAAAGCTCACTGTCCGTACCTGCCCATCTATACAGCGATTGGATGAATCTGTAGTTGATTCATTTTGCCAATGTGAGGCCCCTCAGACAAGGGGCTGATCCAGGTAATCTCCACCTATTGGCTGAGATACATGCCTGCGCAGCCTTGCAGCGCAAAGCTAACTAGCTATGGCGATGCTAAATGCTAACGCACAGGACCATACAGACAATGGACGGGAGGCACAGAGCAGCGAGTCGAGTCACGTATTTTGTTGTAGTAACCATGACTACCGCCACAGCCATCTTGAAAAAAGCCGGACGGCTGTTGGTGTTTATGACACCTGAGTTATGTCCCATATGTCCAAGATCATAATTTTATGAACTATATCAAAGTCACAACAACAAGCAGCAGATTTCAGAGGAATCAAGAATTGCTCTGCAGAATCAGCATTGTTCTCCACGGAATCAAAACTTTTTCTCTGCAGATTCCTGAAGGGTCTAACTACATATCAAAACAGCTGGCAAACTGACTGTATGTTGAACAATGGAGGCTGTCACTGATACAGCTATATGTTGTTTATTTGCACGGGAGGAAAGTTTTGTCTTGCTTGATGGACTCAGGTGATTTGGACTATGCAGCAGGGGTGGCTCAAAGGGTGGCCAATATGGTCTGAACTCCAGCTAAAGTCTAATTGTCCACTCCAGGTTTCATCCTGAAACCCTGAACAAATTATTAAGGTTGAGCTAGATAAGATAAGATATTCCTTTAATAGTCCCACAGGGGGTAATTCCAAAGAAAGCGGGCTGCCTGGAGATTTTTTTTTTTTTTTTTTTTCACAAAATATGACACATCGAGTGTCACATTATTAAAAGCCAGTAAGAGTATTTAAAACTGTGATTTATCACAGCCTCTGCTGTGATTAGACATGATTTTATCTTTAAGTGATGACAGTACTTGTTGACAGCTAAGAGGGGTGACAAACTGAGCTTGTTGCAGCTTAATTTTAAACACCTATGACAAACTTCACTTTTCGTATATTTTAACAACTTTTTTTGGCAGACTTTAATTGCATGGAACTTACTGTAAATATAACTTTACACAACCTCCAGAGCAACATTACTCTTTTCAAGTGTTTCTAGACAGGCTATAGCAGCGAGGAAAAACTTTTTAAGTTCAAAATTTGGTTTCTTTAGAAGTTATATGACCAAGAAAGTCAATGCATATTTGAAAGGATTCTGATTTGAATAAATGAGTTTTGGACTCATGAACAGCAGATACTTTATAGGATTAAAATAGGATACAAATATTCAGACCCCAACACAAGATTAAACAATTCCCAAGAGTTTTCAGCTCCTGCTATGTTTGAAAAAGGATACATAAATGGAAAAAAGATTCTTCTCCAACACAGCCCTTATTTTAGAGTTCTGTAAAACCACATAGTTAAATCAAGCTGCCTCAGGAACTTGTATATTCGATTTAAAAGAAGATTAGATGCTGTAATGTTGTTTTCTAAAGAAGTAGTATCTTTTCCAGTAAGTTTTTGTCTGTATCTTTTTACACACAGACAGTATGGAAGCAATGCTTCCTTGAGAGAGGACACAAAGCTGGATTTTTTTACGCTGCAAGCTGACAGATCAGGCTTTGGATTTGCTTCCTCTCAACTGAAACATTGACCCCACTGTCACACTTACAGCAGTTCAGAGAAGGTAAATTTTGGCTAGGTGACAGGTACACACTTGCTTGATTCACAGTTATAGAAGTGGAACTGTTTTAATGGAAAGGTGGACAGACGGATAGTCAGAGATGGACGGGAAACTTAAGCTAAGCTGGCACTGAAGGGGAAATTCAGCAGGCAGCAGATCAATGAGAGATGACTAATAAAGACTGTGATTGCACTCAGCGTAGACGGGTGTGTGTGTGTGTGTGTGTGTGTGTGTGCGCGCTTCTATCTGTTGGTGTTACCAAACATGATGCTGTACAGCTTGCAAGTAAGCACACAGAAATATGCTCACGGTGACATCTCAACGTGTATGAATATTTTTATGTAAAGTTGTGGTTTGACATGTGTGCATGTGTTTGTGTATAATGCGACCTGACACATGCAACTCTTATTAATAAAGAGTGAGTAGATGCTTATTGAGGACACTGACTGGTTACCACCAAACCCATGAGGGAAACACACACAGCACACAAATCTATATATGCACATGACCGTAACATGCTCTACCATACACACACACGTGCACGCACGCACACACACACAGTTATACTACATACACAACGGAAAGAGAGGTACTCGAGCGGTCCTCCCAGCTTCGGTGTCAGTTGAATTATTCAACACAATTAAAGCTCACTAAAGCCCATCTCTCCTCTTTCAATTTTCTGTGTGTGTGTTCATGTTCTCTCACTTGTTTTCAACCACACTCTCCTCCATTTGTCCTCTAGTAATCCTTTTCTGGCACTCTAGTCAAGAGTAGGGCTCCTTTGCAGTTTGCTTCCCAGATATTAACATGACACAGAGTTATGTAGTCATGTAAACACCTACTTTATAGCAATACATACTAGGAGTGTGCCATATTATACCATGTACCTTAATACCAGAATACATTTTTTTGTGAGATAAATTTGTCATAGTGCGGTATTTATACTGTAGGGACAAGATGACGTATGAGTTTCCTACTGCATACACAACAACAATGTCAGAGAGCAAGAGCAGCACAGTAGCACCAACTTGGTCCTCAAATGAGGAACTAGTGCCAAAAATGGGAGCCACCTCTGTGGTGTGGAGGTGGTTTGGCTAACACAGCTAATAAGTTTTACCACCTAACACTAAAACACATGGCTAAATATCAGCAGGCTTTGAGGGCACGTGACGAGGACGTGAAAGTAGCGACTGGTGAAGAAGCACTCACTGCACCCTGTACGATTTAAAAAAAAAACTGACGGTGAAAGGACATTTCCAAAGTGGTCACATATTATTAGGCCAAAGACATGAAACTAATTAAGGCTGTCAGAAAGGAAGGCTTCAAACACTTTTAATGTATGGCAAATCTGAATTTATTTTCATAATTTAACCACGTTTTAATACCAGTAATAAAAATGCCATTTTTTGGAAGCAGCAATCACTAACAATGTGTTGTTCCGCAAGTTTTTCCATATTGTCATAAATATCGTTATCACAAAGTGCCTTGAAAAGTCTTGATGTCACCACTAACAAGTGCTCCAAAAAGTGTGATGCAAATTAAGATTTATGTTACCTCAAAATCATGAAGGTTTTATTGAGGCAGAGTTAAAGTTGGTTTAAATGAGAGATATAATATATAGTGAGCAGGTGGATGTGTGAATTGGAACACCAATAAGGTAAGCAAGCCCCCCCCCCCACACACACACACTTTCATGGGTTTGTCTCACCATGAAGGAATGAAGTGATTCAGATCCAGAGAAATCAAAAATATTCATGCTTACAGAGCATTAAAATTCTGAAGTGCTGGAGACCGCCACCCACTCTGATTTTAATTCATTTGTAGTCGGTATATCATGAATATATCAACAACTGCGTCTCTTTGTGATGTTTTTGGTTTGTTTCCAGGAGATGGTTTCAAGAACACACATACACTGTAACTGGACTTCATTGTGTAATTTTTTTAACATTTCTGCCCTTATGTGTGTTTGAAGTTTTTTGTATTTTTTGTTTTGATAATGCTAATAAGGCATTCAACCAACTTTCATTTGTTTACTTGTGTGGCAACATGTAAGACATTAAATGATCAAACTGTTTCTTAAAGGATAAGCTGATATCAGCCTTTGTTGATGCAAAATAATTTGCACCATCCTTATGTATGCATATTAACGACATGCATGGTTTGCTGCTTCCTACTGGAATTTCATTTTAAGAAATCAAGAGACACAAAGGATAGAAAAGGAGTGCACTTAGACAAAACTCTGATGATTTTACTCAGACGCTGGATAATTGGCAACAAGAGCAAAACATCTTGAGTGCCACGGAAGACTTATCCTGATTTTAATCTCTCTACTTATCAGTGAAGTCTGGATTATATTGCGTAGTTGTTGGGTGTATCCCCCTGTAAATCTGTCTGTTGGTATGCACTCATTTTCTGCATTAGACACTGTGTGTAAAGTAAAGTCAAAAGTCAAATTTATTTCTAAAGCATGTTTAAAAACAACCTTAGTTGACCAAAGTGCAGAACAAGGATACAATATAATTATGCACACACTTACAGGGGTATATTGGCGTAAATTTAAGTGAGGGTCAAACACACTGTCACACTGAGTTCAACAACCCCTCAAGAGATGAATGTTGCTGACTGCTTGCTTCTTTAGTTATACCACCTTCAGCAACAATGGCACAATAGCAATACACAGCAGTGTACATCTCCATGTGTAAACCTCAACCAAAAAGCCACAAATAATGCTCAGAACAGTACCTAACTTCATCAACAGTACAAATAGAGTCCCAGCCATGGTATCTTTTTAGCTCTGCCTGATTTCTTTAGCAAAGAAATCAAACACAACTCACCCACTCTCCTCCAGCAGCCACTTGTTTGTGGAGAAGCCCTGATCAGTCAGTCACCGAGTGCAGCGGAAAACTTATGATTATTACTTTAAGGAAATGCAATCAGACTGAGACACGCAGGCAGAAGAACTACTGCATCTGAAGTGCACATACAAGATATACAAGAACTCTGATTGCATTGCCATGAAGTAATAATCATGACTGTTCTTCGTTGAGCTACGAAACTCCACTGCACTTGGTGATTGACTCGCCAGAGCTCTCCCACAAACTGCTGGAGGAGAGTGGATGAGTTGTGTTTGGTCTCTTTGCTGAAGAAATCAGAAAGAGGCAAGGACAGGACTGATGTGGTGACACCGTTTCTTGTGTGTGTGTGTCAGGGGGTTTATGTCAGAGTATGATAGGAGTGTGTTCGAGACCCCTTTTCCTGCAAAGTCCTCAGACAACGAAGCTAATTGATCTATTCCATTTGTGTTATTAGGGTACATGTGATACCTGACAGCATTGTGTAAAAACCAAAGGTCCCCCCAGATCTTTATTTTTTTTTCTGTACTCTGATTGATATTGATGCCAAAAATGTTCTTCCGTGGGTTGACGTGGTTCAGAGGTCATGAATTGCATTCTGTACAGGTGAGAGCAAAGGCCAGCTGTCAGACAAAAATATCCCAGGTTGGAGCTACAGGCGAACTGCGGTTAACGCCAACATCGGATTTGTGTTTATTCCTTTTGACTCACCTTCATCTTGAATCTCTCCCCTCCACTCTCTCTCTCCACCTCTGTATCTGTGGCAGTTTGAAAGGTCGAACTTTTGCCAGACTGTAGCGGCCGGCTGAGTGGCTGAAACACAATCAAGCGTGCCAGACTATTTCCCCAAACTCAGACACATACACACACACACTCAAAAATACACACACACAGGTCCTAGCTATTTCTTGGTGTTGACACTCTGTCATTTGTTACACAGACATCTCTTCTCCTTCAGCGGCCTGGCTGGACCAGTGCCAAAGTTTGCTTTGTTGTGTCTGCTGGTTAAATGGCAAAAAAGACAGGAGAAGAGAGGATAGTCAGAGAGAATAATTGGAAAAGATAAGTGGGGGGAAAAGAGAAGAGGCAACCAATAAGTCAAGATTAGAAAACTTCTCTGTAATCTCTCAAGGATTTTTTTTTTTTATGATAATAACAGTCAAAAGTTTCTGAATTGAAAGCAGATAAAAGGTGCAAACTGTCATTGTGAAAACTGCAGTCTTCTTCAGTAACTTGGCTTGAGCTCTAAGTGAACGTAAGCTGATTTAACTGGACTTGCTGTCAGTGCTGTTGTACAATATGCTCAAGCAAAAGTAAAAATAAGTTCAGGTATTTGGTTTCAGAAATGAACAGGAGGTGGACATGAAATTGAATGCAAATCTACAATTTAATTTGGGAGGAAACTGAAGTGCTTTATATCTTTTATGAAGAGTTTTCCACAAGCTCCATCAAGCAGATTCTAAGTGTGAGGTACCTGATCAGAGTTGGCTCAGTTTAAGGGCGTTTTCACACTTGGTCCCTTTTAAAAGAACCAAACTAAGGTGGTCTTAACACGAGTACCAATTTGTAAGACACCAGTAAAATAAAGTATCCATCAGGTGATTGTGACACACGGAGATGCCAATTTGTCCATTGAAAACGGGTCTGCAGGTGGATATCTGGGTATTCGTCTTCATGCCGTAGTTGGTATAAATAGATAAGTCCGGAAAAGACAGTGACCTCATAGCACCCCTCCTCCTCCCCGCCCCCCAACCCACGTTGTCACACACACAGCAACAACAACAATGGCGGTAGCTGGGGTGATTTTGTTCTTGTTCCAGCAACTACAAATATTGCTATGACTTTTATACCAACATTTAGAACAGCAAAAACACCAGCTACGGCAACAACAGCAACAAGTGCTCATGCAGAGACGCAGCATGTTACGCGTGCACAACTTGTTGTCGTGGAATCCACCTCAGAGCAGAACCAGATGGGCAACACGATTTTGCGTGGATTTTGCATTGTCATGTAAATGCACTAAGCCTATGTACAATACAACGTGTAAACAGTGATGCATGTTTTGGTGCTGACGCCAAGACAATACGGGGCCGGCATGTGTGAGGAGGGCCTAAGTCCTTTTTAAGTGGACCAAAAAGTGGACCAAATGCAAAGGAACTCAGTTCTTTTTGGGTTCACATTGGGAGTTTATTTCAAAGTGGATCAGGTTCTCTTTCTGGACCAGCTCAGTTTCTGTCCTCTTTCTGTTCACACTACGTCCTCTGGAGCATTTTACCATGAGTGCCAAGGTACTTCTGTCTGTCTTTTTTTTTTTTTTTTAACTTTAACTTTGCTCTGTACAGATTGGTGGTTTGGTTATAACTGTCTGCTTTTATCCTCTGAAAATTCTTGAAAAACTTGTGTGTTACGGAGGGTCGTATTTAGTTGTGCTTTTTTGCTCTCGTCATCCTAAATTTCCAAAAGACATTTAGTTTAATCTCTCTAAACTACGCTGTGTCCAGGTCTCGTAGTGGAATCTTGAGAGCCATACTTTGTATTTGGTGTTCTTCCTTTTCTCTACTGCCCTGCCGAAGTCATGTGACCAATCTACGGCAAGCAAAGAAGGTTATAATGCACTGCAAAAGGGTGAAGTGAACCCGGTGCACTTTGTGTTCACAATTCACAAATTAGGCGAACTGTACCGCTGACTTTTAAATGAACCGTACTGAGACCTGGTCTCTGTAGGGGTCTGAGTATGGTTGGAGTGTTCACATACAGACAAAAAATGCTGAGTAAGTGATCTGTGTTCACTTAGAGGGCTGAAAGGGACCAAGTGTAAAAACACCCTAAGTGACTCTGGTCTGTTGAGGAAGGTTACAATGAGTGTTGCAATGCACTCATGGCAGAGGTTACCTGACGAGAGGAAGTGCAACAAAGGTAATAACAAATAACTACCATATTATTGTGCATATACAATGGTTGAATGGTATTCTTCCAGTCTGACTTTTATGAAATAAAAGTCTATATAAATAAAATTTGATTGATTGATGATTGTTAGTTGGAAAATAACAGATTGGTTGAGTCTGAAGATCCCTGCCATAACAACACTGGGTTCTCATGAGACAGAAGATCTTAAAGTCAAGTCAAGACTGGAGGAAGGTCTTAAAAATGGACAGGTTGGTTGTTTAGTAGTATTTCCTCAGTAGTCACCACATCAGCTCGTGTTTTCTTCAACAACAAAGATAAATAGATGGTGAAAAAAGAGGAAAAAGTGGTAAGGTGACACCAAAGGAGGAAAACAAGTCTTTTTTGTTCAAAAAGGCTGAAAACAATAAAAATATTAGGGAAAAAAAAAAAAAAACTGTGATGCATGGTGAAAAGGTTGGGGAGAATCAAGAGTGAGGGATAGAGAAAGAGGGATGGATGAAGTGAGGGGTAGGCGAAGTAAATGAGGGAGGGAAAGGATAGAGGACTGTACAGCGCAGAGACACAGTCCATCATGCACCCTGTCTTGCTGTGAAAAGAGGAAGGACAAAGTTTAACCAGGATTTATTGCCTGTGTCGAGTCACTGGAATAAAGCTTGGGATATAGATCATTATGGAGGACACAAATAGACCTGCATGCACCTGAGCTGGGGTCAGTTCACTTCCTTTTCTGAGCACCCCACCACTGAAGCTGGCCCTCTGTTAAACTGAGAGAGCAAGTGGGTGGGGCATTGACAGATGAAGTGTCAATCATTCAGTGATCCTCCATTCATTATGAGGACAGCTTTCCCTTTAACTGCTCAACGAGGACATTGTTTGTTAAATCAGAGTGGTCCTTAAAAAAACAAAACTCTGTTTTTCTCTTGGTATATTTTCTGACAAAATAGAGGTACAGTGTGTCCAATGACTTTTTCCTTTGAGTAGATATAGTGCAGTAGAGGAATCCTTTGTCATCCTGAAATCTAATCTGTTTGCTCCCTACAGGACTTTTGTTATATTTCATTCCTTGGTTGTATATTTTTGCATGTTTTTTCCCTCCAGTGTGCAGGCTTCTCGGAGTGTGATGTGTTTTGTTTGTTGCTTTTCTCTCTTCGGTTTGTAAGAGGTATGACCCCAGATTTTGTAATTACTGCTGGATGAAGGTTTTAGCTGCTGCTGATTTTTTCTTGTTATTCTCAAAATGCTCTACAACTGGAGAACATCACTTAAAACAGCAAGACAGCTTCAACGTTGATCAATCAGTTGTGAAATAAAAGGCTATTAGAGCAAGGACAGTACAAAGTCTGCTCAGAAAAAGTTCCAAATCTGCATCATCTGGGAGAATTTGGGTTAATATTTGTGTCTGCTTACGTTGTTGGAGACATTTAGATTAATCCACATCCTGGCCAAAAGACAGCACAGATTGTACAACAGGTTGTGAGACCGACTGGTCTTAGACGCAATCCGTTCTGGCTCATCAGACCTTTAACAACCAGCTGAATCACAGGAATTGAAAAAGGAAGTAAAAGAAGCAGTGGATGTTCACACCATTATTTAATCCAGTGTCTGAGAATATGAACAACACTTCTGTTTAAAATTCATTAGAGCAGTCTTGGGGATGGTAAAGTATTAACACAAACATTAGCAGGATTTGGGGAATAAATTAAGACTCATCACTGATTAAAAATGTGGGGCTTTTGTTTGTGATAGATATGTTTTTATTTGAATATTTTTGGGGAGAAAACATGAAGACAAATGATTAAGCTTTGATAATTCTGTGACAAAGGATGACATGAATTCAAATATGACACTCTTTAAAGTTGGACAACATTACAGAAATTACAGTCAGCTCAGAGTTACCGAATGCTGAATAACAGAAATCAAACCTGACTGTATTCCCTGGTATTTACATTTTCAAGTAAGACATTTTGACCTTTTTCAACATGCTCAATAATTTAAGCAGTGTTGAGTCAGATCTTATAAATCAATGATGTAATATTCATGCTGTGTTTTCATGGGTGCTAACATGGGGGATAAACAAGTCTGTACAACATGTCTCTTTTATGCAGGAGATTTAGAGACATTTTAACTTATTCAGCAACCACTCATGGGGAAAAAAAATATGTTCCCAAAACCCTCAAATTATTTGGGTGATTTTGAGCTTGACCAAAGTTTTCCTTTTTTAGATTTGTTATTGGCTGAGAACAGAATCTACGAACACTGAGGAGCACTCTGGATCAAATTTGAGTGCTGACATGCCAGTGCAAAATGATGTCTAATATGTACAAGCTTATCAGTGAAAATACGTCAGCTACACTTTAAATAGCAGCATATGTTAATCAGAAAACGCAGGTCACAGCAGTGATAACCTACAATTACACATGGCTATTTAAAGGTACAGTGTGCAAAAATGGGAACATTTAGGAATTAATGATGTAACGGTAACCGGTGTAATGGTAAATTGTGTTAAAAATGTTGATGATAATGATTACTGTTTGCGTTTGGATCACTGCGGTGTTAAAACCTTGTCAGTGTTTCCCCAGGACTGGAATCTTTCTGTGGCGATGTGTGGTTTGGGGCTGGAGGGGGCTTTGTGTGTGTGTGTGTGTGTGTGTGTGTGTGTGTGTGTGTGTGTGTGTGTGTGTGTGTGTGTGTGTGTGTGTGTGTGTGTGTGTGTGTTGTTGTGCGAATCAACGGGTAATCAACCAGCAGTGAGATTGCTGAAGATCTCCCCACGCTAGTAAATAGCTGTGCGATCACCAACAGTAACTTGTTAAGTAATTAGCTGTGTGGTCACCTATGATACCTCACTAATGCTAATACTCGGTGCGCGCTCCACAGTGCACTGCACATATATAGCAATACCATACAGTCTGTGATGTATACTGATACATATGAGTCCCGGGTAGCACCATATAACAAAAAAAAAAAAACATTTTTAAGATGTGGTGGCTTTTATTTAGCCGTTGCAATGTGCCATGGTCAATTGTATGTTGGGGAAACCCAGCATGTGTTTAATTATCCCAGCTTCATCTGAGTCTCCTTAGGTATCTGCGCAGGTGCACTGTGCAGCCTACAGTTTTTATTTAAACTTTCTACTAAGTTTGAAATGGAATCATGACGAAAGGAGGAGATGACAGCACCCAAGACATCGACAAATGTTGAGGGACGCTTAGTTGAAGACAGTAATCCTGACTGTAGAACATGCAAAAGAAAAGTTGCTGTTAAAGGTAGCAACATATTCGGGTTCAGGGAGAGTGCAGTGATCTGTTTGTCTAACTTATTGACTCGTCAGTAATATAAACAGAACCTTGAATGCAGCACCTGTCGCCATGGAGAATACATCTAGCAGCTAATATTGTAAGATATAAACACATGAAGTTAACCTTTATTTGTGAAGAAATGGTGAAACAAAGCATTGTTTAGCGCTAGTTAAAAGCATCAAAAATGCCACAATCAACGTGATTATTTTGGTCACAATAACAGTGAGGTAAAATTTTCATACCATTACATCCCTATGAGGAATATTTATCCATCAGATTCCAGGTTGGAATGCTCCCTCTCAACCCTCCCATCCGTAAGGCCTTCATGGAAAGAGGCTCCAGTGATGCTGCATAATATATTTGAACTGTCATTTAATTATATTTTACAACAAAAACTTTATCAGCATAAATCTTTTTTATGTGCAACAACTCTCTTCCAACCAATACATTTTCAGCAGCCACCCACAAGATATAAAAATGTAATGCAAAGGGTGTATAGGTGAAAAGGTTGAACACTCTGTGCTACTGTAGAAATGTGGCATTGCAAGGTGGTGTCCTCTGTTGAAGGGGACCTGTTTCTATGTCAATATACAGGGCTCATCCTGGCTTAATAAAACAAAATAACTTTAATGTTCTGGTAAATATACACTTATTTAAACATACTCTATCATACTACATCCCATTTCTACCAAGTCTGTTCTGCGAAATGCTTAAGAACATGTGACAAATCTATCACATATTCGCTAGTTTTACACCTGCAGTATTTGGAGGCATTGTCATGTCAAATCACATGAATTATGAAAAGTGGTTAAACTATAATTGGCATCCCTTTACCATCCCTGACAAAGTCCACCCTGTAGTGTTGTGTCGTTCATAAATGATTTGTTCAAAAGAACGAAACTGCTGAGTGAACGACATGAATGGAATCACTCAAAGACCTGATTTGTTTCTTTCTCAGTTGAGTTGGGCTCAGCCGCGATCCTTGCTTGCCAGTCAGGAGTGGGCACAGAGGCAGCCAGAGAGCAAGCGGGTGGGCAGAGTCTCGTGATTTGCTCACAGTGAATGAACGACATGTATCAGTCAGACTGTGAACGAAGCGACTGACTTCTGAATGACTTGAGGCAGGCAGAGGAGGGAGGGGCATAGCACCGTTCACTGCCAAGCGAACACCCAAGCACCAAGCAAATAGCATGCTATTTGATAACTTTGAAAGTATCAGGATCCCTGCCACAGCTGCAATGTTTATTTATTTTTAATCTTTCCACCTTTCTGCAATATAAAAGAATGATGACTTGTGCTTGTTTAGTGGGCGTGCTGCTTGCTGCTGCTATGTTGTTTCACTCGCATTGCGATGCAAACATCAGCGGCACACAGAGAGTTGAGTTTTTCAGGGCAGGGGAGTGATTCTTCTTTTACAACTTGGCGAATGAACGACATGTGTCACCCAGTGAACGATGCTGTGACTTCAGCAGCAGGGGAGGGGCTCGTTCAATGAAGGAACTCCCAATCAGTGCTGCTGTGTCACTCACTCGTGTACTGCACCAGCAGGACGGGGCTCCGAAGCACTGACTGATTTGATGAACAAGTGTTGTGAATTTAATGAACAGATTCTAAAGATTCAGTACAGTCAAAAGAACTGTTCTTCCCATCACCACCACCCTGAGATTTGAGATCAGCCTTTTTGTAATTCTGGCGTGCATTCTCTCCTGATTTCTGCACAGCGTTTTGGATGACAGTCTCATCTGAAAGAACGCTTTCCAATGTACCTTTATAGTATTTGTTGCATCTCCACTGATGGCACTACCGTTATAATAAATCACTCTCATTCACTTCAGGCAGCAAAACTTCCATTTCAGAACTTAAGTCTTTTTTCTTTTCAGCGTTCACCAATTTAGATTTGATTTTGTTCATTTCTAACATCTCTCTACTTTTGATTTTGATCTTGAAGGATTTATATGTGTTGGCTCTACAGTCTCATCCATTTGGGGGACATTTTATCACATTGGCTGGAACAGTCTATCCAGAGGACACACATGAAATATATAGACACTGAAAAATGAAGTTGGAACTGGGCCAAAGCTCCTCACTAATAGGAGCTGCTCGTCTGTGAAGTTTAAAGAGTCGCATGCAGGACGTCATTCTGCCAGCTACAGAGTCATGAGTTATTTTGAAAACGGGTTTTGGATGTTTTTGCAAAAATACATTTGTTTGTTCAATTTCAGCACGCAAAATAGAAACATCATTTTTAAATGTTGTCAAGGTCAACGTTTCTGTGGATACGCATGGTTTAAGCCCTGTTTTAAAGCAATTAACCATTTCAGTGTGGTGTTTATTATGCCCTGACTGATTTAAATAATGTTTTTAAGTAATCTATCACAATCAAGAGGATCTCTTCAAACCATTTCAGCACTGGCAGTAAGTATAGCATTTTGGTTGAATCATTGCTAGGTCAAAGGTTACCTCCATTTTTTTTTTTTTTTTTTCAATTTTGACATCATTCAGATAATCTGATTCCTGTCTTACACCTCCAGTTTAATGTCTACCTACAAGGTTGAAGCTTATAATAATCCTTCGTGTCAGTCATCAATCAATCAATCAATCAATCAATCAATCAATCATATAGCGCCAATTCACAACAGTCGTCATCCCAAGACGCTCTCCAAAGAAAAAGAGCAGGTCTAGACCAAGCTCATTGTCTGTCGTGTGTTTTTAGGTACACAAATATTTTCTCAACTGGGCCAGAAGCTGTTTCAAAATTTAACATATCCCTGTGATTACTTCAGGTAATGTTGTTCCTCCCATCATGTGTTGTAGATGAATGTGAGTTCAAGGTATTTCAGCTTGAAAGAAATTAAAAAATAAACCTGTACCCGAAGTTGAGAAGATTTCTTTAGGGTCATCTTTTGCATGTCTCAGAGGACTGCTCAAAGCAAGAGCTGATAATCATGTTACCCACACAAGCATGGATATTTAAACACAGTGTAACAAGGTTCATCTTACCAGGACTCCTCCAGGCAGAGGAGTTTGAGCTCACCTAAAACATGCCGACAGAGAAGTAAAAATAGAGTCAAATAATGAGACATAATAAAAGCAGGATAATATGCCGTCCTGGTTGGACGCAGAGAACTTCTTAACCTTGCTGACTTCATCCACAGTACTTGTACAGTGATGGTGCCTGATTTTGCAGCCCTCCCACTAATTAGACCTGTAACCTTACTGCAGTCATTACAATCAGAAACCCTCCCACAGAGCAGCGCACACTCTCTGCAGTCCAGACATGCTTTCTCTCTCAAACATACTCTCACCAGTTTCTTCCAGTTCTCTCTTTCCACTCCCCCTCTTTCCCTTTCTAGCTTTCTCTCTGTGTTCCTGTTTAACCTCCATACTTCCTTATTCACTGTGCACCTCTCACTCCTCTGTCTGCCTTTCTCTCTTCTTCCACAGCCATCTGTTGTGAATCATCATAATGATAATGGAGTCCAATGTAAACCCTTTTACGTACTGAACCCATTGACTTTCATTCTTAATTCACTGGTCCACATCCAAATGAATATCTATTCACTGGCTGCTGTGTGCCGCAAGACAATCTTTCACTTCCACAAAAAGTGGAAAATTCTCCTCCCATCAAATAACTGTGTTTGTTTTTGTTTGATCAAGCCAATCTAAAGTGTAACCTCAGTCTTTTCCTGCCTAAAAATAATCACATTATTGCTCATAAACAGATTTAGTTTTTCATTCAGCAATGATTTGTGGCTGTTTAAAAAAGCTACAGACAAATGAGGGTGTGTTTGTGCAACAGTGAAGTCATTTAAGGTAATGTATACAACATGAAGACAACCTTATATTATGTCTAAAAACCAACATGAACTTCTTGTTTATCTATTGTGATTTTAAGGTTGAGAAGAGCTGATTGCAGAAGCATTTCTGACGAGTAAAAAGGTCTTTGATCGATACCATCAATTAAAAATCTGCATCAACTAACTGATCGGATGGTATATTTTGTTCCAAAGACTATGAAAAAAAAAAAAGCAAAAAAAAAACCTCAGTGCATCATTATCAACTAAAGCTAAAAAAAAACAGAGCTAAGCTTACCCCACTGATTACCCAGTGAATACATGCTGAAAAAAACAGCCATGGTCAACACTGGAAAGATGTTGACAACAGGCTGAGAAGCAAACGTTTTTTTTATCATGTCTTTGAAGTCGTTGACCAAACATCTATGTTTGGACCATGTTTTACTGGTAAATATGCATCTGTCACAACAGAAAAGGAGATGTGTTTAATTGGTTTCTCTTTACAGCCTTCACTATGCAATCCCATGGCTCACTGGTAACAGAGACGTGACAGGAGTGACACTGGCTTCCCTTGAAACCTCAGTCATTAAATCAAAACCATAGACTGTAAATCGAATGGACGCCATCTGCCTCCCCACTGGGTGAAGCCACCACAAGAACAGCACCCTCTAGTCACTGCAGTATAGGTCATAAATCCTGCCTCCTCCAGCCATCCCTATGGAGCTGTGGACAAACTTTAGGAACATATTACACAGAATATACATTTTTCTCCCCCCTGTTTGTGATGTTGACATGTAGTTACTGTAAGACTGGTTTGTGCTCGAGTCCTCTTTTTTTTTGTACAGCTCCATTTTTATAAGTTATTAGGGGGTTCATGTTTTATTTGATTGACACTTGATACAGCCTATGAGCGTACGAAGATTGTGTAGCTCACCCGGGGGGTAATGCTGTCTGAGCCGAGCATCATCACAGCGACTCTCCTGCCGAATGTGTACAACGCTCCTGCACAATGTTGGTTTCAGGAAGTGGAGAAAAAAATACAGAAATACTGAGAGCTTTTTGGCTTCAAATCCGTATACTGGCGGAGGGCGGAACCAAGTTATCCATTGTATATACAGTCTATAATTAAAACACGTCAAAATGAACTTAATTTTTTTGTTTTTTTCTTATTCCACACAGTGTTTAAACATTGGTGCTGATAATTGCAGTCAGTGCTGTGGACTGAAGAGCTAAACTACCTCCACACGGATATATCCAGGTCCTGATCCTGTCTCAAACTCTCTGTTCCTTCCCTCCTACTTTTTCTTCTGCCTGAGATTTTTCTAGACAGTCTCTTTTCGACCAAATCACAGACTTTCAGGGCAGACTGAGAGGAGAGCGTAATTCTTGCCAAATGAGACAGCCCAGCTGCACATCCCCGGCCTGATTTCCCTTCTGCAAAGGTGAACCCAAATTTGACCGAGGTTATGACCGCTGATGGTAATCATACATCATTTGGTGGATATGGACTGTTTTCAGGGAAGCTTGAGTGAGGTTGTGAGGTCACTAGAGGGAGCTTTGATGAATGCCAAATTATCCTCTCTGCTGCTGCTGCCCTCAGGGAGGCTTAAAGTGCTGTGCACAGGCCTAAAGACACACACACCAAGTGCAACTTTGGTACGCACATACACCGGTGATAACTGTGTCTGTTCCTCATTGTCCTTTCTGCTCTCTGCCCTGTGGGTGCAAACCTTGTGCATGTGGTGCTGTTGCTGCTGCTTGTGCGTATGGATCTGGTTAGGAGAGATTTCTGTGTGGGTTATTCAGGGCTGCTCTTACTTACAGTCAAATGCATTTAAGCTGCCTGAGTAGAGAAACAGATATGATACAATATCTAACGGCTGAGAAAGTCTCAATTCTGAAATATGAAATAGCAAAAAAGAAAGATATTCTAGAAATATGCTCATTAAGCTGAAACCAAAACAAAGCAAAACAAAATGACAGGAAACAACAGATGTGTGGCTCTTTATCTAATGGAAAACATTTGGAAAATTACCCCTGTGTGCCTTAATTTCTCATGCAAAGTGAACAACACAGCCTGTCGGTTTTGGTTTGAACGTTAAGAAGCAACTGTCTCATGATAAAACTGGGATCCACTTCTACTTTCGTTTGGATTTACAGCCACTGAAACCATCATACACAATCAAATGGCAATTAAGGGAGAAAAATTGTTTCTAGGCCCCTGTTTACATTTTAAATGATTAGGAATAAAAGTGATTGACTCCAGGGCGAGTTGGCGCTTGCGTGACTTGATCCAATATGGGGATTTGCTGATGATGTAATATGATGTCGTTTTGATGGAAGGAATGAAAAATTTCCTGCACCAGCTCAGCATATTTCATTATTCACTTCTTATTTCATCATCTTATGTTCAGCAGAGTTCAGCAGCGGCAGCAGTGAGACTGTCTCTTTCTGTCTCTCTCAACAGACAGCTAGAAAATGTTTCCTTTTGTTTTGCTGTCAGTGATAGCGCTGAGAGTCTGCAGACATCTACATTCAGCCCTCAGTGCTCTTTCTGATTTATTTGTGCTGTTTAAAATACGAAGCAGGAACAGATTTGGTCAAATAAATATCTTAGTATCTCTAAAGCTGTGCAAATGGCTATATT